CCTGGCCCTCCCGAGCCGCGACCGCTTGCTCGAGCTGGCGTGTCCAGCAGCCGGAGACGCGGATGCGCGAGCTGCGCTGGCTGGGGCTGCCGGCACCCTGGAGCAAGTCTACAATCGCACCCAGGACCTGCTGGCCGGGTACGGCCTGCTGCAGCTGGCCTGAGAACTGCGGCGGCGAGGAAAGCGAGCAGCGGGAACCCGGTTCAGTTCAGCCCAGGATCTCGCCCAGGGACCAGCCAGTCACCCGGGGGCGGGGCGTCTAGAGACCACGCCCTCTCGGTGACGCCTCCGCAGCTCTGCCTCCCTCCCCGACGGTGTACGGTTTGGGTTCCTCCCTACAGCCGCAGTCTTAGGAAGATGGGAGGAGCTGAGATAAATAAAGTATTTTTTGGCAGGAGCTTTCTGTGATGACTGCAGACGCTTACAGGGAAAAAAAAGAAAATATGGGAAGATGTGTCATCTCTGTTCCCGGTAGCCAGGACTCACTCTCCCCTTGGTACCAATTTCAAACGACTCCTTTGAATTCCATTGCCAACGCCTGGTCTGTAGCCCAAACCTGTCCCCTGAGCTTCACTGCTTTACAGACAGCCCTTTCCTGGCCACTTCCACAGACATCTCAAACTCAACGTGTCTAAAAAGGATCCCAACAGCTTCGTATCAGAAGTGCATCTCTTCCTGTGTTCTCCGTTTCCATAAATAGTACCCTCTGCCTTCCACTACCGAAGCCTAAAGCCTGCGCACTGTGCCTCACACCAAGCAGGAGCTCAGCTACAAAACCTATTTACAGGGGCCGGAGATTTAGCTCAGTGGTACCGCCGCCTACCTCTCAAGCACAAGGACCCGAGTTTGATCCCCGGTACCAAAAACAAAAACAAACAAAATCTGTTTACCAAGTGACTCCTTAGTTACTCCCACAGTAATGATCATAAAAGAGCTTGACCGTTTTATACACTCGCTTCCAAATTATACCTCGCTGCCACTTTCTTCTGGACTCCAGAATCCTTAATATATATCTACCTATTCTGCAATTTCATTTAGATATCAACTAGGCATTGAAAATCTACATGCTCAAACTGAGCTTCTCCATTCCCCTTTCTCCCAAAATACTCCCTTCATAGCCTTTGCTAGCTCCATAAATAACAACTCTATTCTTCCAGGTCCTTAGACCAAAAATCTTGTTTTTCTGTGAAGAGACTTCTGTTTCTCTTTCATTACATCAACATTCAATCTGTGAGAACCTGACCATTTTCCACTTTCTCCACTACTACTACCCTTGTTCAAGGCATCCTTATGTATCACCTGGATTATTGCAATATTTACTTATTTGGAAGCAGGCTCTTCATAGCCCAAGCTGGTGTTGGGATCCAGACCGCCTGCCTCAGACTACCAAGTGGTGAAATTAACCTAAAGAAATCAGAAGGGGGTCCAGGGATTTAGCTCAGTGGTTCTGCTGCCTGCCTCGCAAGCAAAAGGACCTGAGTTCGATCTCCAGTACCCCCCAAAAAATAAATTCATTTGGGCTGGGGATTTAGCTCAGTGGTTCCGCCACCTGCCTTGCAAGCACAAGGACCTGAGTTCCATCCCCAGTAACACACACACACACACACGCACACACACACACACACACACACACACAGAAAGAAAGAAAGAAATAAGAAGGGGACCAAGGATTTGGCTCAGTGGTTCCACCGCGTAAGAAAAGAAAAGAAAATCAGAAGGAATGAAATAATAAAGATTACAGCAGAGATAAACAGACAAAAATCAATGAACTAAAAGTTTTTAATTTTTCTTTTTTAGTGCTGGGAATTAAACCTGGGGCCTCCTGCATGCAAGGCAAATGCTGTGCTACACCCCCCAGCCCCAAACATTGGTTCTTTAAAAAGATCATCACAATAGACAAACACTGTAGCTCAAATATGCTAAGAATGTATGATCAAGGACCTTGGTTCAATTCCCAGCACCACATGTGCACACACATACAAAATGGAGAAACCTTTAGCTAGATGGACTGGGGTAAAAAGAAAGATGTAAACTATGAAAATCAAGGATGAAGCTAGCTGGGCATAATGGCATTTGCCTGTGAGCCCAACACTCTGGGAGCCTGAGGCAGGAGGATCACAAGTTGAATCCAGCCTTGGTATTTTTTCTTTTCTCTCTCTCTCTCTCTCTCTCTCTCTCTTTTCTTTTTGGTACTGGGGGTTGAATTTAGGACCTTGCACTTGCAAAGCAGGTGGCAGAACCACTGAGCCCAAATCCCCAGCCTTTTTAACCTTGAACTCATTATATAGCCCAGGCTGGCCTCAAATTTGTGGCAATCCTCCTGCCTCAGCTTCCTCAGTGCTGAGATTACAGGCATGTGCCACCACATCCAGCCCTTAGTAGCCTATTGAGACCCTACCTCAAAAAGGGAGGGGATTGGGGATTTAGCTCAGTGGTTCCACCGCCTGCCTCACAAGTGCAAGGTCTCGAGTTTGATCCCCCATACCAAAAAAAAAAGGCTAAGGGTGTGGTTTAGTGTGGTGGAGTGAGGATCCACAAAACCGTGTGTTCAATCTCCAACACTTATTAAAAATATTTTATATATATGAAATACTATAAACAATTGTAGGTCAACAAATTAGATATCAATTTGAGTTTGTTGAGTTTTTTTTTGTGTTTTGTTTTGAGATATGGTCTCACTATGCAGTCAGGATGACCTCAATCTCATGGTGATCCTCCTGCCTCAGCCTCCAGAGTCCTGGGATCACAGGTGTGTGCCACCACACCCAAGAAGACAACCAACATGGAATGGGAAATTTTTAAAAATTTTTAGTATTTTAAAAAATTTAATAAATTTTATTTTATTTTATCATATCTCCCCTTCAAGCCCCTTCTCTTCCCTATGTGCAGAAACTTTATTAGAAATGTAAAAATTCTTAGACATAAACTGGAGGAGTAACTCAATGGTAGAATGTTTACCTAGCATGTGTGAGGACCTGGGTTTGACCCTCAATACTGCAAAACAAAATTAAAAATAATAATAATCCCCCAAAGAAATCTACAGAGTAAATGCAATCCCTACCAAAATGCTAACAGCATTTTTTTTTTGCAGAAATGAATAGACTAATCCTAAAATTCATATGGAAATGAGATCCAGATAGCCACAACAATCTTTTTTCTTATTTATTTATTTTTGCCCACAATCCTGGGGACTAAACTTAGGGCCTTGCACTGAGATACTCCCCACATCCACCACCCTCACCCTTTTTTTTTTTAAGATAGGGTCTTGATCCAAGGATCTAGCTCAGTGGTTCTGGCACCTGCCTCACAAGTGCAAGGACCACCTTGAACTTGTGATTCTTCTGCCTCAGGCTCGTGAGTAGCTGGGATAAAGGCAGATTTCACTGGCAGGTACCTGCTTGGTGACCAATTGATGTTTTGTTTTGTTTTGGTTTGGTTTGGTTTTTTGAGACAGGGTCTTACTATGAGTTGAGACTGACCTTGAATTCACTATGTAGCCCAAGCTGGTCTCGAACTCACAGTGATCCTCCTGCCTCAGCCTCTCAAGTGCTGGGATTACAGGCATGCACCACCACGCCTGGCAGCCAACTGATTTTTGACAACGGTGTCAAGACCATTTAGTGGGGAAATAATCTTTTTAGACTAGCATAGTGGCACACACCTGTAGTCTCAACAAAAATGTAAAAATAGGGCCAGAGATTTAGCTCAGTGGTCTGGCAACTGCCTCACAAGTGCAAGGACCTGAGTTTGATTGCCGGTACCAAAACAAAAACAAAAAAGCAAAAATTAAAAATATTAAAATAAAGCCTTTGCACTTCAAAAGATACTAATAAAGTAAGAAGACGAGCTAATGGGAGAGAAACATTTGCAAATTCTATATCTAATGTTTCTAGTAAGTAAAATATAATATGAACACTTATAATGCAACAATAAAACCACATATAGTCTACTTTAGCAGCCGAGTGTGGTGACTCACATCTGCGTTCCCACCACTCGGGAGGATGAGGCAGAAGGAAAGCAGTGAGTTAGAGGCCAGCCTGGGCTACATGTTGAGTTCAAGGACAGCCTGAACTATATAACGAGACCATTTAAAAAATAAAAATAAAAAAAAGAGGGCTGGGGATTTAGCTCAGTGGTTCTGCCACCTTCCAAGCGCAAGGACCACAGTTCTATCCCCAGTACCAAAAAAAAGAAAAATTCATACATGATTGGTGCAAATGTAAAACGGTGAAGCTGATATAGAAAACAGTAGTCTTTTTTTCAAAATGTTAAAACAAGCCCCAATAATTCCACTCTTAGTATGTGGCATGGTCATTCTAATTTGAGACTCTCAAGTCTATCTTTTTTTTCTCTCTCAACTCTATTTGTGGGCCCTTTAAATCACAGCTCCAATCAGATAGATTGGCTCTGGCCTGTACGATTTTTTTTTTTTTTTTTTTTTTTTTTTTTTTTTTTTTTTTTTTTGTAGACTGCTTTTGTTCGTTCCTCGCCACACTGCCATCAAGTGCTTCCGGTCACCAAAGACCCGTCCTTTCTTTTCCCTTCTGCCGTCAACCGTGGCATAGTTTCCGCTCCCACAAGCCCTTCGGGCCCGACTAAAGAGAGTGACAGGGCGCTTTACGACAGTTGCTTTGCGGTAGCACCGGAAAAGAAAGATGGCGGCTACCTTGCTAGGTGCTCCGCGAGCGGTTCCTGCACCCTGCTGGGGACCAGAGGCCATCACCCCGGACTGGGAAAACCGAGAAGTCTCCACAGGGGTGAGGAAGTTATTAAGGTTCAGGAGATGTGCACAAGGCCTGACGCGGAGAAAGAGTAAAGTCTGAATCGATATGAGAGAGGGGAGGTGAGCTGTGAGGCAGAGAGAGAAGTATTCTGAGGATGTTGGAGAGGTGTCGTACGCTTGGTGGAAGCTGTAGGATGGTTAAAGCGTGAAATTCTGAAATCCTACGGAGTGAGGGAAACCCGTGGCGTTTGACAGTTGGAATTCTGCGCAATGTTAGGCCTTTCCCACACCCGATATTTGAAAATGAGTCTGTGGCACACGAATTCTGTATTCCAGGATCTGGATGAGATGATTGAGGATTGTGTAAGCAAGACAGTGTGGAAAGACTCACTCTTATCTCTTTCCCCAGACCACGATTATGGCTGTGCAGTTTGACGGGGGCGTGGTTCTAGGGGCTGACTCCAGAACAACCACTGGGTGAGCCAGGACAGATTTGTGAAGTCTTCCCATCTTCTCTTCCTACCCTACCTGCTAGCCCACCACCACCCCACCCCACCCGACCCATATTCTGGTGATGGAACCTAGGGCTTCACATATGCTTGGCAAGTGCTCTACCATTGAGTTACATCCCCAGCTCTTTAAGCCCATTTTTAGCCTTCTCACACTACTGTGGAAAGAGAGGTTGGGCTGGGGATTTAGCTCAGTGGCACCACGCCTGCCTCACAAGCACAAGGTCTGGAGTTCTATCCCTGGTACAAAAAAAAAAAAGAGAAAGATCTCTCCTCTCCCTGAAAATAAACATTAGTCCCATTAGTCCCATCTTCTACTACTTCCAGTTTCTGTCACTTTTTTTCTGGACTCCTTATAAACGTCTGTCCTCCAGGCTTCTTCAGTTTGCCTGAGAACCCATAGGCAATACTGGAATTCCTATCCTTGAGTCCTAAGGAGTGGATAATGATAAGATGGAGGTGGGAGGTAAATGGGATTCTTCACTCACTGTTCTGCCATTCTGCAGGTCCTACATCGCCAATCGAGTGACTGACAAGCTGACTCCTATTCATGACCGCATTTTCTGCTGCCGCTCAGGTTCAGCAGCTGATACCCAGGCAGTAGCAGATGCTGTCACTTATCAGCTTGGTTTCCACAGGTGCTTGAAGGGAGAGGAGGAACAAGTATCTGAAGGGAGGTGGGACCTAAGATGCTAAATATTTTTAACTCCCAGGTCCTAATGCTGCCTTCTTTGTGACTCCCCCCACCTTCATCTCTAGCATTGAGTTGAATGAGCCTCCACTGGTACACACTGCAGCCAGCCTGTTTAAGGAGATGTGTTACCGATACCGGGAAGATCTGATGGCAGGAATCATCGTCGCAGGCTGGGACCCTCAAGAAGGAGGGCAGGTCAGAACCTCTCAGAACACTGGAATCAGGCCTTTGATCCTCTCACCTCAGTTGTTTTTCTCTTTTCAGTCTCTACTGCACTTACTTTTCACTCTCTCCAGCCCTGTCCCACAATGGACAGGTAAATGCATTTGTATTGAGGGAAAGGTCTACCTGGTGACTCTTTTCCTTCAATCTGGCAGGTCTACTCAGTCCCCATGGGAGGTATGATGGTAAGGCAGTCCTTTGCCATTGGAGGTTCAGGGAGCTCATATATCTATGGCTATGTTGATGCTACCTTTCGGAAAGGCATGACCAAGGAAGAGTGTCTACAATTCACTGCCAATGGTGAGAACTTGGGCTTTTACACCTGTGAGATTCAACCCTCACTATACCAGCTAGGCCAACATTCCCCATCCCTTATAGTATTCCCAGCAACTAACTCCAAACCCAACTTCTTTTTGTCCACAGCTCTTGCTTTGGCCATGGAGCGGGATGGTTCCAGTGGAGGGGTGATCCGCCTGGCAGCCATTGAAGAATCAGGGGTTGAGAGGCAGGTACTTTTGGGTAACCAGATACCCAAATTCACTTTTGCTGCTTTACCACCCCCCTGAATCCTGAGATTCTAGGCTGCAATAAGAGATACCAATACCCCATAATGATTTAAAGATTGAGGGCCAGGAATGTAGCTCAGCAGCACAGTGCCTGCCTGGCAAGCCCTGAGTTTGATTCCTGGTCATCCACCCAAGAAAAGATGTAAAAATTTAATAAACAATTTGTCAATGCTATCTTTGGTGCTTTTGGGTTCTTTTCTTGATCTCAAGCCTACACTTGTCTGGTCCACACTTGGATTTGCACAAACCACAATACTGAGCTCCAAGGAAATTGGAGAGAGGATGAAAGGAGTTTTGAATGCCCCATTCCTACCTAAACCTATGCATGGGTGGTTTTCAAACCTGTTTCTTCAGACCATTTTTCCCTTGTCGTATCCAGGTATTTTAACCCCCAGAGTGTGGTTGATAAGGGGACTAACAACAACACTCTCACTGTTCAAGTCCTGAGATTGGGGTCACCTCCCCTGCTCTGCCTCCTGCCACTCATCATGGATGTCTACTGGCCATAAGGCCAGAGCTCTTCATCCCAGCCTCATGGTTACCGCTCCTAAACTTGACCTTTATCATCTCATTTTGTGGTTAGGATGCAGCAGTGTGATTTCCTTCGCTTTGGGGAAAGAGGTGGGCCTGTCTGCAAGTAGAATTTGAGATTGATATTGGGTGGTAGAAAGCAGTAAGGAGAGCTTTAGGCTAGAATCATTCCTGTGGGAGACAGAATGGACTGGCCCCTGCAAAGCAGCTTCCATTCAAGCCAAGGATGAAAGAGGAACTCAGCGGTGCTCACTGACAGTGACACATTCTGTTTTCTTTTCTGCAATCTATGCAATCCTAGAAGCTACATTTTAAAACTTTTTTCTAGCCTGGCATGGTACTACACTCTTGGGATCCCAGCACTCGGGAGGCTGAGGCAGGAGAATTGCCATGAGCTTGAGGCAACCTGAACTACATAGGGAGATCTTGTTTAAGGGAGGAAGGTGCTAAGGATGTAGCTCAGTAGCACTGCACCTGCTGGTAAGCACAGGGTCCTAAGTTCAGTCCCAGGTACGGAAAAAAAAAAAAAGGACGAAGTGAGAAAAAAAAAAACCTTGATCTAGAATACATATAATCCTGCCCTGGAGGATTTTGGAGGGCAAGAAGGAGGCTTCCTAGGAAAAGTGATGATGTCCTGGATTAAGTGAAAAATAATAGAAGGATCTCTGGCTCCAAACGATAATGTGCAACACTTTTGATTTCTGTGCCCAAACCTCTTCCAGCCAGGCATAGTGCATGCCCATAATCCAGAACTTGGGAGGCTGAGGCAGGAGGATCAACACGTGTTTCAGGCCAGCCTGGCGTATACAGGGAGAACCTATCTCAAAAGCAAAATCTTTTCTCCCAAATCCTCCCTATCTCAAGGCATCATCTTTGATTCCTCTTCTTCTCACACTTTACATTCAGTGTGACAGTTAAATCCTAAGACGTTTATAAAAGTATGTGTAGACCGCAGGCATGACGGCCCCTATCTGTAGCCTCAGCACTTGGGAGGCTGAGGCAGAAGGATCACTGCAGGTTCCAGGCCAGCCTGGGTTCCATAATGAGAGCTGCAAAGTGCGTTCAATGCCAACCTGAACTACATAGTGAAAACTTGTCAAGAGAGAGAAAAAAATAAAGTATGTGTAATATTCATCTTACCATCTCTATACCCATCTTGACCCAAGGCACCATCATCTCTTACCTGAAGGGTGATAACAAACGCCTAAGCTGACTTGCTGTTTCCATACTTGCCCTTATATGATCCTTTTCCCATACAGCAGCCAAGATGATCTTCGTCAATGAAAATATATTGATTACCTGCTTGATATTCTTCAGTGTCTCATTATTCCACTTACCATTCCACTTAGCGTAAATTGGCTCTTAAACCATGACCTAGAAAACCTCACAGCGCCAATAAATTTGACGCTCTAGTCACTGGCTTGCTTGCTTGCTTGCTTTCATTTATTTTTTTTCCTGTTTCTTGAAATTGAAATTTTGCACTTAACACAAATTGCTGTTTTTTTGTTTTTTTGGTGTTTTTTACTAAGGTTGTTCTTTGATTTTTTTTTTTTTTTAACTTTCTTTCTCTCAATACTAGAGATCTAGGGCACTCTACCACTGAGCTACGTCCCTAGATCCATGACTTTTTTTTTTTTTTTTTTTTTAATGCCAGGGATCAAACTCAGGTCCTTGTGCTTCCAAGGCAGGCGCCAGAACCATTGAGCTAAATCCCCAGCAATCCATGACTTTTGTTTTTTTGTTTTTTGAGACAGGGTCTCACTATGTAGTTCACACTGCTCTGGATCTCACTGTGTAGCCCAGGCTGGTCTCAAACTCGAAGCAATCCTCCTGCCTCAGCCTCCCAAGTGCTGAGATTACAGGTGTGTGCCACCACACCTGGCCATGACTTTTAAAATTTAGTTTTATTTAAAAAATTTTTTAAACACTCTTTTGTTTGTTTGGTTGGTTGGTTTGGTTTTTTGAGACAAGGTTTCACTATGTAGTTGAGACTGACCTGGAATTCACTATGAAGCCCAGGCTGGTCTCAAACTCACAATGATCCTCCTGCCTCAGCCTCCCAAGTGAGGGATTACGGGCATGCACCACCATGCCCAACCACTTTATTTTTAAAACTTGTTTATTTATTTTGAGATAGGGTCTCCACATGCAGTTCAGGCTGGCCTTGAACACTTGCCAATTTTGCTTCAGTCTCCCGTGTGCTGGGATTACAGATGTGCACCACCATGCCCAGTTTGACTTTTTTTCCACTACTGGGAATCAAACTCAAGACCTTGTGCTTACCACTGAGCTACACCCCTGGTGAGCTTACGACTTTTTAAAAATAAACTTCATTTATTGATTTACAGTACTTATTCTACAGTACTGAGAATTGAACCCAGTCCTTTGTGTATCCTAGGCAAGCATTCTACCACTCTACCACACTACCATTCTTCTACATTCCCAGCCCATTTTGTTTTTTAGTTTTGAGCCGGGCATGGTGGCACACGCCTGTTATCTCAGCACTCTAGAGTCTGAGGCAGGACGACGGAAATGAGTTTGAGGCCAGTGTGGGCTACACAGCAACACCCTATCTCTAAAAAACAAGCCGGATGTGGTGGCACATGCCTGTAATCCCAGCACTCAGGAGGCTGAAGCAGGAGGATTGCTGTGAGTTCGAGATCAGCCTGGGCTACATAGTGAGTTCCAGATCAGTCTCAACTATATAGTGAGAGGGGTGGGGATTTAGCTTAGTGGTTCCAGTGCCTGCCTCGCAAGTGGCAAGGGCCCACGTTCGATCCCCAGTACCAAAACCAAACAAAACCAAACTACATAGTGAGACCCTCTTCTCAAAAAAAATAAATAAGTAAAGACAAAAAAAAAATAATGTTTTTGAGACAAGGCTCCCTAAGTTGCCTAAGGCTAGCCTGGAACTTGTGATCTTCCTTCCTTATGGTCGTAGCTAGGATTACAGGTATGGAGCACTGCACCCAACAAGCTTTGAGTGAAAGGTACAGAGATTTTCCATGTATCCCTTTCCCCCATATACACATTGCCTCCCCTACTATCAAAATCTTGCCCCAAAGAGGTACGCTTGTTGGAATCAGTGCCCTATGCAGCCCATCCTCAGCTTTCACTTAGCTACTCACCATTCCAGTCTCAGCTCAGATGTCTCCTGTGAAAGACCTGTCCTGACCAACTTGAAGAAAACCACCTTCCTCATAACCCTCACATTACTCTGCATCATTTTGTTCATAGCAGCATTTATCACTTTCTGATATTATGCTTGCCTGTTTGTTTACTGTGTCTCCCCCTACTAGAAAGCTCACAAGAAAGAATTCTTTCTCCTTGGCTCACTGATCTTCAGTGCTGGGCATGGAGCAGACACTAACATTTAGTAGCTGTGTTCCCCAAACTCATCTGTTGCCCTCCCCAGCTCTCAGTCTCTCCAAGCTTGCCCTCTCTACACTCAGCTCTAAAGCTTAATTTCAGCAAATTTACTTTCTTGTGGGCCAGGGATTTAGCTCAGCTGCACTGTGCCTGCCTCGAAAGCACAAGGTCCTGAGTTTGATCCCCAGTATAAAAAGAAAAAAAAAGTTTACTTTCTTGCTAGCCGCACATCCCTCATCTACTCCACCATTCACCATTTCTGTGCCCCACTCCCATCTGATGCTATATTTCCCACCTCAGCCCCAGTGCCTTGTCACTGTCTATCCCCCCAGCGTACCGATTCACACAACATTTGGCAATTCTGAGCAAATTTAATGAGAAAGTCATGACAGGACTGAGGGAGCTGGACACTTGGGCCCCTGAGAAGTAGGGTAAAGGTAGGTTGCCAAATATTCCTAATTGTTGCCTTCAGACAAAATTGGGCATGCTCAGGGTGGGATGGCCATAGACTCAATTGTTGCCTTCAAATGGTGGAGTCATTGGCTGTTGCTACATCGTGCAGCTGGTGGCGGAAAGAGAGTCGAGCTTTCCTGCTGAAGTAGGCACCGGCCCCCTGGGAAGGAAGCCCTCTCTCAGCCACGACGGGGACCATGGCTGGGCTGGGATCTGGAGGGGCAGCAGGATTCAGGCCTAAAAGAGGGATTGGAGGGGACAGAAAGGTTTTGCCAGACAGTGTTCAACTCCTCACTTCCCACCCACAACTGAGAATGAAAGAGGCCTGCAGCTTGGGGGCCTGCCAGGTGAGGAATGTTGTTGGAGCAACGGTATTATAGAGAGATGAGAGAAAAGACTGGCTGCACAGGCATATGGCTGAGCAGTCGCAAAGCACATGCCCCAAGTCCCTCTCCCACTTGTAACAGCCCCCACGCTTGGTGTTGTATTCTGCTGTCACCATCTAAAATCAGGGCTGACTTCTCTATTCTTCATGGAGTCCTGCAAAGTCTTAGCCCTGTGAGGATGTGAGGGATCCACTTCCCACCCAGAAGAGAGGAGATCTTTTTCCCTTAGCTGGCTTGAGGATTTACCTTTCTCTCTATAGAGCCCCCCTTTTCCTCCTGTGACCCCCATACCTGCTCCTCTTTCAGTCCCCCGATGTCTCCGGCATCCACACCACGGGAAACACCAGGCCCCCTTCAAACCCATCTCGAGAAAACTGGAGAAAACTGGAA